GAGGTCTGGGTAGTCCTCACCCTCCTCCTCCTCCTCCTCTTCCTCCTCCTCTTCCTCCTCTAGGAGCCGCTGTGGCTCCCAGCGCAGCAGGAACTTCCCACCACCCACCAGACCTGCCACACCGTACAACCCATGGGCGGACGTCAATCCAATGCGGGGCGGTAGGCCTAGGTCGGCCTGCTGTACTTGCTCCCCTTTGCTTCCACCCGCAGGAATCTGGTTGACAGTATCACGATTGGCCGCTCACAATTTGGAGTGGACGGACTACATACGATTGGAAGAGATATCGACCCGGCCCTTGCCCCGACCATCGATATTTCATTGCTGAATGGGACGGGTGTAGCCATGCAGGACGAGGATATGGTACTGGCTTCTCACAGCTCCCGATGGACAAATCGATCATGTGGACTCGCAGTGCCGTACAGCATCACGCTCAGTGGCACCGTGCAGCAGACGCCATTCCCACCAAGGTCGCAAGGGATAGCAGACCGCAGTGCCATGGCAGAGTTTCGTATCGTCATGACGACAGCAGCATTCTCCCCAATGTACTTGGCTTGTGTCACATAAGCGGTTGGCAAGCTCGGACAGCAATACGCGGTCATCATACGCGGCGACCTCAACTACTGGCAGAAAACATCACCGAACGGACGAGAAGGCGGGCTTGCAGAACCCGAGCATAGAAACAGCAGGTTCGCAACGCATCCGAGACGCACCAGAATCTATCAATTTGACAGTTGGCAGCAGCTTCTGGATCACAGTACCAACACAGTACAGCGGAACGTCAAGCAGCAAGATCGACCATCATATCGTGCCCATAACATGCTTGCGGAGGACCATCACGATGGGCAATTCGAAGCAGCTCGGTCGAAGGCTACAGCGACGGGAACCCACGCTGCCGCAGGACCACGTGCCGCTGATGTTCAAGATAGACACCGACGTGAAGCAGGGCCACAAAGGATCTTTTCAACCCCGAGTTAGCCGAGATATTGTCATGGGGGTCTACGTGCAAGGGCGCCTGCGCATAGACTATTTGAAGGAACTCGAACGGAATGCCGAAGAAATCACCGAACGTATTTGGAGGGAATGTTGGGGCCGGGGCGACTTGCAAACTGGTTGGGGCTTACTGCGAGAACGTCTCCGCATATGCTCAGCGAAGTTTTTCCCCACGGGCGAGCGCCCGCCTCGGAAGTACGATCACATGCCACATGAGCAAGCGGATTTAACGCGGAGAAGAGTTATTTTACGAGAAAAGAAGGCATGTGCCGAACCAAATCTTCAACAATCTGAGCACGATGTAGTATGTGAACGATCGAGCGCCATTACCCTCGATACTCAAGCAGCACGACGGCGACGCACACTGGAGAGGCGCACCGAGACCGCTGAAGAACTCACGAGAGTTTGGAACAGACGCGAACGGTCACAAGTTCATTAATTAAAGAGTTCACTATCAGGAACTGGACGAGGCCCGCAGAAGTGCAACATATCTGGGGCACGGTAAAGAACGACCCTGGATACCGCCACACAAGGACTTTCTGACAAAGCGGAAGACGGCTGGCTGGAAGGGAAAACAGTTGATTGGGCAGAGTTGGCAGTTGACTATCAATCCTTTCCCGAATTTGCACCGCCAGACCCAGCAGTTGACCAAGCGAATCACGATCGGCAAGGTCAGATTTGTTTTCGTTTTTTCTTCATGCTTTGTGTGTTCGCAGCTATATCAGGATTGTCAGCGCGCGTGCTACCTGGAGAGTTCACTGACCGATTGGACAGCGTGATCAACAAATGCTTCTGGGACTGACGAAAGCGGCGGTCGCGACAGATCACGGCCTCACTCGCAGCACGCCTTCCAGGACTGTCTTCTCTTCTTGGGGCAGATCGCCCGCTGCCGTCGAGCCCCGGCGGAAACGTTCGAGCTGGATCAGGACAACCGTCGGGGATCTCATGAAGCACGAGCAAGTGCACATGGGAGCGCTCGGGACCACGAGATTGCACGACTGTGTCAAGTGCTGCCCTTTAGACAACGCTGGCAAGGGTTGCGAGCGCAGCGCCCCCCCCCCCCCCCCCCCCGGACAAAGCAACGGTTGGCACTCAAGGAATTCAACGTGGATAAGCCCATGTCGACGAACGAGGAGCAAGAGGACACGTCTTGGACGATGAGGGGGGGAACTACGAGGGGGAGTTTCCGTGCATGCATGAAATGGCCGACGGCGCAGCGTGCGGAGCCACCTTTCCTATTGCGAGGGCGCTGACGACAACGGGCAGAAAAAAAAAAAAAAAAAAAAAAAAAAAAAAAAAAAAAAAAAAAAAAAAAAAAAAAAAAAAAAAAAAAAAAAAAAAAAAAAAAAAAAAAAAAACGCCATGCCAATGCTGGAATTGGGTTGCCAGCCGAGAGCGACGAGGTGGCGACGCCCCAGCGCGCAGCCCTCGACGCCATGCAGAAGCCGAGGCGCTTGGCGGGCTCGGAGTGGGACCCCTACCTGACCCCCCCCCCCCCTCCCCCCGA